ATTTAAAAATTAAATTAGTTTTTTTAAATTTTTTTTTTAAAATAATTTTTAAAATTTTTTTTAAAATTTTTTTTTTTTTTTTTTTCTTTACCAACAATGAATGATAACAATAATAATATAGATAATATAGATAATAATAATAACAACAATAATAATGACAATAATAATAATCAAGTTGAATTACCTTTATATATCCAAAAAATAATACTAAGATATATCTCTGACCATATTAATATTTGTTACCGGGTTATCGAGGATAGATTCTTCCTCAGTGGTTATAGAGCAAGAGAAAGATATACTAATCAATTAATTTTAAAAGTCTCACTCACCTGTAAATCATGGCACAAATTTATCAATAATATGGTCTATGTATCTGTAGATTTCAACTACGATAATCAATTCTTTTTTAAAGTAAAAAAATCATTTTTAGAAAATAAAAGAAAAAAAGAATTAAAAAAAAACAATAACAATAACAATAACAATAACAATAACAATAACAATAACAATAACAATAACAATAACAATAACAATAACAATAATAATAATAACAACAATATTTATATTAAAGATATTATATCTTTTTTCAGTGCTAGCGAATTTGGCATTGAAATGAATGAGAAGTTTAGTACTCTTAGTAGTCAAGAAATTAGTACTCTTCAAGAATTTCTTGTGTCTGAACTTGTCGACAATAATAATGATAATGATAATGATAATGATAATGATAATGATAATGATAGTGATAGTGATAGTGATAGTGATAGTAATAGTAATAGTAATAGTAATAGTAATAGTAATAGTGATAGTGATAATGATAGCTATTACTATGGTAGTGATAGTAATATTGAAGAAAACACCAATGAAAATAATGGTCAGCAACAAAACAATAATAGCAATAACAATTTATTGAAAATAGAAAATATTTCAGTTTTAAAACTTCATTTTAGAAAAAAGGGATTCTATAAATTTATCAATAAAAAAAACGATTTAAAGATATCAAAAAATAAAGCAATCGATAAAATTCAAGAAATCAAAAAACTAGAAACCTTACTCATCAGAAACATCGAACTTGGTGGCAACTCAATTTATGAACTTGTTAAAGAATTCCAATCAGACCAATACACATTAGAAATTCTAGAATTTGTATTAGATACAGATATGAATCAAGAGAAATTCGATTATATATTTGAAAAAACATCAAGAATCCATTCAATAATTTTTCAAGATTTTAAAAATAATGCATTGATATCAAAGTCATTTAAATATTTTATAAGCCATCAAATAAAAGAACTCTTTATAAAGAACACCAACATACCATTTAAAGACATTATTGGCTATGAAGTTCCACTCAAAGAGCTAAACTATAAACTTTACAACGACGATCAACTGTTAAGCGAGGTAGAAATCCAAAATTTAGTAGGATGCCACCACAATTTTTACAAATCTTGCTTAATCGACAGCAAAAGAATCAACATATTAAATAGCATCGAGCTATTGGATATTTGTCAAGAAGATATAATGATTGATGACCTATTTTTCATCTTAAAATCATTACCCAATTTAAGAGAATTTTCAATTCGAATATGCTTTGATAGATTAATTAGCTTTTTTTCAGATGAACACGAAGGTAATGATTGCCCCTGTAATTCAATTGTCAGTAATAACAACTCTCTCACCTTCAATAAAAACAAATTAAACTTCTATTGGGATTTACTCTGTCAATTAGCTTCATCTCACAAACTAGAAATTTTAGATATTGGCCATGGATGTGATGACTCTGGTGTTCCTAACTACTCAGTCGCCCATCGTTTAGAGAGTTATCCAAAAGTTTTTATTAAAAATCTTGGTAGATTTGTTTCAAGTTTCAAACATTTAAAAACCCTCAGAACAGATTCATTTTGTACTTCAGACTTTATAAAATATATTATCACCAATGCTAATAATAATAATAATAATAATAATAATAATAATAATAATAATAATAATAATAATAATAATAATAATAATAGTAATAAAAATAATGGTGGGGGTAGTGGTAGTATCAGAAATTATCAAATAAATGAATTTAAATTTTTCTTCCATCCCATCACTTATAAAAGAAGCTTATTAGATATCATAGCAGAATATGGTTCCGGTATAGATAGATTAGAACTTATTGGCCATATGGAAGATAACGAAATGGTACTTTTAAACCATAAACATTCAGACATTGACGAAATCACCCAACTTTTAAATAACCTAAGCTGTCAATAACTATTCAAATATACTTTTTTAAAAAAAACAATAAACTTTATATTAAAATATTTTCTGCAACTCGTTTTTTTCTTTTTGCTATCTCAACTTAAAAATCAATACATTAATATGAAGATCTTAATAACCTGAATTTTTTATTTACCAAAGGTGGATTTATTATGGAGAAAACTCTCAAACAGATTCTAAAAACATTAGTTAAACAAATTTGGTATATACACAATCGGTTAAGGTAGTCTTATGGTATAATCAGGTTCGAAAAAAAAAAAAAAAATTCTTCAAATTTAAAAAAAAATTACCAACAATTAAATAAAAAAATAAAATGTTTTAAAATAATAAAAAAATAATAAAAAAAGGGAGAAACTAATTATGATGTGTGATTTAAATTTTATTTCAAATCTATTAGTCAATTTAAATAATGAATAAAAATTAATAATTTCTTTTGAAAATTAGGATATTATAAAAGATATTTCAAAAATATCTTTTATTTTTTAATCGAAATAAAAAATTTTTTTATTAACTTTAAATTTAAAAAATGAAACAAATTCATTCAATACAAATACTAATATTTTTTATATTATTAACAAAAATAAATTATATTTATTGTGATAATGTTTGCACTGTTTGGTTAAACCCAGAATCAACCAATACAACATCACCGTGTGGATTAGAAATTACAACACCATGTCAAAATTTTGAGGCAGCAGTTTCAACATGTGGTTCAAATTATGATGTAATGAATTTAAACTTTATGTATAGCGAAATTCCATATCAAATTAGTCAACAAAGTCCCCTAAACACAATAGATAATAATAAAACCATCAATCTAATAAACATAAATCAAACATCAATCGAAATGGATTTATCGAATATGAATACATCATTAGTTAATATCGAAAATGATTATAATACAAGTAACAATTATCAGAGTGTTGTTAATGTATCAGGATTCACATTTACAAATTTTCAAAGTGGTATATTTCGTTTTGTAAAAACCTTTTTAAATCTTACAATAACAAATTGCAACTTTAAAAATTTAAACAGCACTTCAAGCTCATCAGTACTTTTTTATTATAATTCTAATACCAATAACAACAATAATATATACAATAATTTTTTAATAATAAATAACTCAATATTCCAAAATATTCAAACTGGGGGACTCTTTCTACTAGAACAAATAAATGTTGTCATTGACAACACTGTGTTTGAAGAAATCACATCAAATTACAGCCCACATAGTATTATGAATCTTGACAGGGCCACCACAATGAAATTTACCAACTCTAAAATTATAAATTGTAAGAGTAACACGCAGGGCACCAAATTCTCAATTTCTATAGGATATCAAACAACAGAGACATCTTTACTTTTACCACAGCCATCATTAGTTTTCGAAAATATAACTTTAAGAGACAATTTAAATGGAGATATAATAGCTTTATCAACAGGTAAATCCTATATCATTTCAATGAACCAAATTACTGCAGAAAATAATTATTATTCAACACCAATTTATTTTATGAGTGAGTCAGCAATGGGTGGAGGCAATTCATCTGGTAGTTGGAATGACAAAAACATGATTTCAATTTCAAATTCTTTATTCAAAAACAATTCAAACACACTCGATTATAATGGAAGCTTTGGAAGCAGCGCAGGTGTAAATATGTAACCATCACCAACTCTGCATTCATTTCAAATACAGCATTGGATGGAGCATCCATTTTTATAGTGAATCTCGGCTCACAAGATTACCCATTTTCTCTTTCAATCAACAATTGTTCATTTACCGATAATAACTCAACGAGATATGGTGGCTCCATTTATATGAACAGTGTAAATTCAATTACCATTACCAATTCAACATTTAATAACAATACAGTTGACAATTCATATGGTGGTAACCAAATATATTGCTCATCAAGTAATGTTACTATTCAAAATTCAAATATTGTAAATAGTGGTAGTAGTACAAATGTTACAGATAATAATCAAGTTGCATGCAAATCTTCAAACTCTTGTTCATTTAAAAATAGTGATCCAGATTTCACCGATTTCTGTACTCCACCAACTGACAGCAGCAATAGCAACAGTACTGATCATGGAAAGTCCAATAGTAAACCACTTACAACTGGCCAAAAAGCTGGAATAGCAATTGGGGTGATTGCATTCTGCCTCATAACCACCATTGCTATAATTTTTATTGTAAAAAGAAAAAGAACATTTTCATATAAAAGTATTTATTAATAATTTTTTCATCTTCAAAAAAAAAAAAAATTAAAAAGTTAATAAACCAAATTTAAACTAAAAAAAACAATAAATTAGCTATTGTTTAATAATGATCACTTTGCACAAATTATTTTATTTTATTTTATATTTTTTTTAAATTTTTTTTTCCCATTTTTTTTTTTTTATTTTAATTTTTTTTAATTTTCATTTTTTATTTGTTTTGTTATTTAATAAAAAAAACAATATATCTGTTTTTTAATATGGCTAATATAACATATATAAAATGATTCAATTTCTTAAGTATATCTTAAGTTTATATATATATATAATTATTGGTGGATCCAAAAATAACCTTACCTATTTTGTATACAAGTAAAAAAAAATGTTATTTTAAATAACCCCTTTTTTTTTTTTCTCCTCATTTTTTTTTTTTTGTTTTTTTTTTATACCTGCTTTCACATAAATAAACCATAGAGAGAATCCACACCATAAATAATATTTATAAATAATATTTATAACAATAAATAATTTAAATAAAAAAATAAAAAATAAAAATTATTTTTTGTATTTTGTAATTTGTGTTGTTCTCAATTAGGAATTAAACAGGAAATTATATTTCTATTCAGTTTTAATTATTATTTATTTAATTTATTTATTTATTTTTTTTTTAATTTTTTTAATTCTTTTTTTTTTTTTTTTTACTTATTTATTTTTATTATTTTTTTTTAATAAACAAAAAAATAAATATAAAATTATCATATAAATAAAAAAACAAACCAAAAATATAAAGATAGGCACAAATAGGAATAATGCAAAATAACGATTTTAGATTTCTGGCAAAAAGAAAGCCAAACAACCAACCACAAACAGGGGAAGAATTACAAAACATAACCACTACTACTTCTACCTCTACCATTATAACAACTGCAAATACACAAAATGCCCCAATTGCAACAAAACCAATAGTAATCCCTAATAATATTGGTAATAATAGTAATGATAATAATAAAACAAAATGCTCATATTGTAATTCAGGAACCTCATTTGGTAGTGAGTCACCACATTCATCAGTAATGGCATATTTAAGTAACACCCCTCCAATTTCAGCATTGCCACAGCCATTGTTAACACCTTCTGACTATGAAAGAAACATGTCTCCTCAGATGAATTATTCATCTTCTTCATCATTATCATCATCATTCGGTAGAGAAATAACCCCAATAAGTTCATCACCAAATGCCATTCCTTTTCTATCAATAAGAACTCTTTCAGAGAATTCATTACTTTCACAAAGTTTCTATATTATTGGTGGCAAAGATATGTCCTGTAAAGCTAGATGTTGTCGAATTCAATCAACTGATTCAAAAATTTGGCCAATTCCAAACACCAATGAAAAGAGAGAGTATGTATCCGATTCAGCTGTTATGTTTGGACAACACATTTACATTTTTGGTGGTGGCGAACAATCGGATACATATGAAATATTTGATACAAGGGGACATACAGGTGCCTGGAGTAAACACGATATGCTAGGATCTAGTGGTGGTTCATTTATATCTTGTTGTCAGTATACCGATTCAATCTATTTAGTCGGTGGGAGAAGAAATGGTGAAATATTAAATAGAGTTGACAAATGCTCTAAATATAAATCTAATGGCCCAAATCTTAAATTTGAAAATTTTGGGAAGTTAAGAGAGCCACGTTTTAACTGCTTCTCGTTTGCCTTTAATAATAAACTTTACGTTGTTGGGGGTGGTTCACGTTCTTCATTAAACAGAACTATCGAAGTTTTAGATCTAAGCAGTAGTGGTTCAGAAAGTACTGTATTCTATAGCGATTTGGATGATTGGGAGGTGCAAGGTGTAGCTTTTAATGGCTCTGATCTAATATATATTAATACATCCTATAGTTTCTATTCACTCAATATCAATAATAAAAAGAAAACATTTTTAGCAGACCCACCATTAGCCCCACAAAAAAGAAATGGTACTCCCATATGCATGGGTTTGGATTCAAATCACAATAGTGTTATCCATCTTGCATCTTACTTTAGTCATTATGTTTATTATATAGATGAAAATAGGTGGGAAACTAAAAAAATAGAAAAACAAGATAATTCTTATTACCACGCAATGGTAATGGGGTATGAAGAAAACTAAAGCAACAGTAGTAATATGGTTATATTAAGGGTAATTAATATATCAAAAATAGTTTAAAAAATATAAATTTAAATTAGTTTTACTAATTTTATTTTCTTTTATTTTAGGTTTGGTTCTTTTTAAATGGGTTTTAGGTTTTTGTGTTTTTTTTTCCACCTCTTGTTACAAGATGTTTTTTGACGGTTACCATTTTTTTTTTTAAAATCAAAAGATTATACATTTTAATTGATTTGTTTGGGTTTATTATATTATCTATATAGGTTAATAAGTACAACCTCAAGAAATCATATATATATATCAATAAAAAATAAATTTAAATTAAAAAAATTTAATTATAATCTTTTTTTTTTTTTATAATTACACACCATCAATAATTATTATTGGATACTTTATTTATTTATAGTTTTTTAAATAATTTTAAAATAAAAAAAATAAATAATAAAATAAACTTATTTTTTTATTTTTTTTTATATAACCTTTATTTTTTTTTTCAAAAAAAAAGATTAATTTCATTCTTTCAAATCTAAAATACTAATAGTTCAATATTTTTCATAGGATATATATAACAAACATCGCCATATACAAATTTTATTTTTGAAAAAAAAAAAAAAAAAAAAAAAAAAATTCTTTAAAATTTTTATAAAATTACATTTATATGGAGTTAATTAAAATTTTAATTTTTTTAATATTTTATTAATCTTTATAATTATTAATTTGATTTTGATGTAGGTTTTTTTTTTTTATTTTTTAATTTTTTTGCTGCAAATCAGAAAAAAATTGCTAAATTTGATTATCAAATTTTTTTATTTTTTTTTTCTGAATCACAAAATTGTCTTTTTTATTAATTAAAAACAATGATGACATCTATTGAACAAATAAAGAAAAAAATTTAGGTTGTGTTTAAACACTAATCTTAAAAAATTTTAATTTAATTAAAAAAAAATTTTTATAAAACTAATTCAGAAACCCCACATTAAATTTTTATTTTTTTTTAATTTTTAATTTCATATACCACATAAATTTTAATTTTTTAATTTCATTTTTTTTTTTCTTCACTCACACTCATAGCATAATATTTTTTTTTTTTTGTAAATAGTAAAAAATCTTTGTAAGTATAATCTAATTTTTATAATTTTATTTTTTTCACACACCATATTAATTAATTAAAAAAAAAAAAAAAAAAAAAGAAAAATGTTTGTTTTAATAATTGCAGTTATTTCAATTTGTTTATTATTTTTTATCATCAACCATGGCATCAAAAACAACAACAACCCACCAAACCCACCAAACCCACCACAACAACAACAATCAAAACCAACAATAACAACAATACCAAGATCACAGCAACCAGCTCCACAAACAATACCAAGATCACAACAACCAGCTCCACAAACAATACCAAGATCACAACAACCAATACCACAACCAACTCCAACTCCAACTCCAAAGCCAGCACCACAATACACACCGTACTCAAGTAATTTTGCTCCAGCATACCGTTACAAATCAACCCCAACCCCAACTCCAACTCCAACTCCAACCCCACAACCAAAATACCAACAACCAGTTCCACAACCAACACAATACACACCATATGCAAGTACTTTGCTCCATCGTACAGTAATC